CGACTGCTGTGTCTGGCAGGGCAAGCTAGCAGGAGGTGGGCAGCATCATCAACTGTTCCAGGACAGTGAGTGCAATCTGGTGAAGGTGCCGCGTCATTCTGGAACAAGTACTTGTTCAGCAGGCTGCAGTGGCCAGTGAGGAGCTGATTGAGGATGGTGGCCTCATGCCGGGACGGAGGGCTGCGGAACTTGCTGGTGTTGAGTAATGGCCGGGGTATGCGGTTGCAGACCGAATTGAAGCCTTGGCAGCTTGGGTAGGTAGCTGAACCTGGGCCTGTACACACTGTGTTCCATTCCGGGCAAGGCGATCCGCCTTGCCATTGAGAGCAACACCGCAGTGGCTGCTGATCCAGACAAGGTTGATGGAATGAGCCTTCCCAGCAACCTCCGTCAGAGCAATGAACGCAGCAATGGTGTCTAGGCTGATCCTGTATGGGTCTCCACGGAGGGCATCTACGAGGGAGAGGCTGTCAGTGACCAGCACAACGTCCGTCTCCATGGTGGTAAGGTCGTAGACTGCCCTCAGGCCAGCTCAGATGCATGCTAAGCTTTTCGCTAGCCAGGTCTGCTATTCGCTGTGTCCGTGGATCACGCTCAATTCACCGCCGTCACTTTGACCATGCCCCTGTCGACCTGGTCCGAGCAGAGGCACAGCTGGTGGTCAGCTAGACAGTTGTCATCATGTTTAATTTCTTTAGTTCTCAATCTCTCATTTTCATGCCAGGCGTGAGCCAGCCCCTGGCTTAACAAAATGGGTGCTCCTTTTTAGTTTAGTTTTTTTTCTTCCTTTTAGTTTTCGTTTTTCTTCTCTTCTTCTTTTTATTTTGCTTTGCCCGTGCAAGCTACAGGAGGCTTTACTGTGCCTGTCTGAAAAAAAAACAGTGCAAAGTGACCACAAGAGAGTTGTACCCAAAGCTGGGCTGCGTACAACCCTGTATCTATCATGCAGAGCACCTAGCTCCGCTTGATGCTGCTATCACCAACACCTTCATTCCTGCTCTCCTAGGTCGCCCCGTCAATGCTGAGGAGCGCACCCTGATAGCATTGCCATGTCGCTTTGGAGGCCTTGGCATACCTCATCCGTCGTCCCGGGCCGAACAGCACCAGTCCTCCCTTGACATCACTGCCTCCCTCACCTGCCGTGTTCTCGCCCAAGATCCAGTTCTTGGCACTGCCATCCATGATGTTCGCGCTGCCAAGAAGCGCGTGATGGCGACAGCCGGGGAGTCAATTCGCGCAGCAGCCCAGGCCTTCTCTTCCTCCGCCAGTTCAGAGCTGCAGCGAGTGATCGCTCTGGCTTCGGAACCGGGTGCCTCAAGCTGGCTCACGTGCCGACCCCTTCAACGCCATGGCTTCACCCTGACGAAGTCGGAGTTTCGGGATGCTGTTTGCCTTCGCTTCAACTGGCTGCCGGTCCGGCTACCATCACTGTGTGCGTGTGGGCAGCAGTTCACTGTGTCTCACTCCCTCTCGTGTCCGACGGGTGGATTTCCGTCCATTCGTCACAACGAGGTGAGGGACCTCACTGCTCGTCTGCTCAGGCGGGTGGCCCATCAGGTGGCAGTTGAGCCACACCTCCAGCCACTCTCCGGAGAGCAACTCCGTTATCGCACTGCTATTGCTGACGACCAGGCACGCCTAGACGTCGTGGCTAGTGGCATTTGGGGAGGACGGTTCGAACGCACCTACATTGATGTACGGGTATTCAACCCCCATGCGTCTTCGAGCCGTTCCAACTCACTTGCTGCTACCTATGTCCGTCATGAAAAGGCTAAGCGTCGTGCGTATGAGCAGCGCCTGAGGGAGGTGGAGCATTCCAGCTTTGTCCCCGCCATCTTCTCTACCACCGGAGGCATGGGAAAGCATGGTGCTTCGCTCTACAAACGCATCGCCTCTCTCCTCGCTGCCAAGACTGGGGAGCCATACAGCATCACCCTAGCTGCCATCCGCTGCCAGATTGGCTTTGCACTGGTCCGTTCAGCGCTGATGTGCTTGCGTGGTGCACGCAAGGCATTCTTACCAGCAATGGCCTCAGACTCGGCAGCGCTTGTTGTTGCTGAAGCAAGAATCGCAGCTTGAGGCTTACATTATATTGTATTGTATTGTATTTATTTAAAAGGATTCTCCAACAGCAAATGGATGCTTATCACGGAAGTCTCCCACATAAATATCGCAAGAAAAATGGGGAAATGGGGAGAGGAGAGTGGAAGATGAAGCATGGGAAGAAGGGAAACAAGTACCTAAATATCGAGGTATAAAAGCAGGAAAGAAATCGACGAGGGAAGAAATCACCTCTGCAGATAATAGCGGGACATTTAGATGAAAAAAACCCCAGCAAGGATTAATTTCAAGGAAAAAAAAATTCTCAAACGGAAAAGTTCGGAATTCCAGTCAGAGAATATCTATGCTGAGAGTAATGAGCCTTTAGAGCAATGCGAAAATTGACAGAGGACTGAACGCAGCGGATGTGTTCTGGAAGTTTGTTCCATTCCACAGATAAACTGAAGAGAGGGGATTTAAGGAAATGGGCGCCAGAACGAGGTAAAACTATAGAGGACGGGTGACGACAACTAAGGGATACATTGAATTTGAAACGAATTAGCAAAGACGGAAACTGGTAAAAGACATGATGAAAATACAGCAAGGACAGAATCTGACGACGCCACTTCAGGGATGACCAGTCACAAGTACGATTAAGAATCTGCTTCGGGGTTTCCCACTCAGGAGGGTGCCGGGTCTTACAAAGCAGATATGAACGAGCAGCAACGGCTTGCAGTCGGTCTAACGTAAGCGAATCTGAATGGGATACGGCGAATGACCAGACAGGGACTGCGTATTCTAACAGTGGTCGTACGTAACACTTGTAGAGCAAATTCACGGTTGAAGCAGAAAGGAAATGGGCCATATGGCGCAACAGAAAAACACGACTGCGAAACTTATGGGTGATAGATTTTATATGGTCAGAAAAATTTAGTGAAGGAGTGATAGTCACGCCGAGATGACAGTGGCTATCACCTTTCTGAATAGGCACACCGTTCATTGTCAAGGGGGATGACGGGCCGGGGGCTAATGCATATTTTTGAAAGGGTAGGTGGACGCATTTACTGGTGTTAAACGTCATGGCAGTAGCTGATGACCATTGACAACACTTATCAATGTCAGTCTGGAGCAATGCATGATGGATAGGAAGTGAGGTGTTTGCTGGAGAAACAAGAATTAAATTAGAGTCATCAGCAAAAAGGGATAGGGTACTAGAAGCAGGGGCATCAGGAAAGGAGTTGATGCACAGGTTAAAAAGAAGCGGGCCGAGATGGGAACCTTGGGGTACGCCAGCGGTGATGGGCAAAGGGTCAGAAAGAGTTTGGCCAATGCGAACGCAAATACTACGATCACTGATAAAGTCCTTCACCCAAGAACAGGCAGAAAGAGAACACCAACCTGAAACAGATTGAATAACTAAATGATGACTAACTCTGTCAAAGGCCTTAGAAAAATCAAGGAACAGCTGGTCACAAGAAGACTTAGAGTCAAATGCACGCGAAACAATTGAGGTAAGCTGTACCAATTGGTCAACTGTTGACCTCTTTCGACAAAAGCCAAACTGACTGGAACTGATAATTTTATGGCTCTCAACAAACGAGTAAAACTGACGGCTAATCATAGACTCATACAATTTGGCAACTGCATTTAACAGCGATATAGGACGGTAATTGACTGGGTGAGAAGGATTACCTTTTCCCTTGAACACAGGTACAACAACGGCAGATTTCCACTCCCTGGGCTGAGTACTGGACAGCAAGCAGCGGTTGAAAAGGGCGGAAAGAGACTGTGACGTGACCTCAGCTGTTTCACGGAGGATGCGATTGTTCAGCAGTCCAGCGGTTTTACGTTGAATGGGAAGTCTGGATAGCGTGTCAAATACGGACTGCACAGAGAATGGTTGTATGGAGAACTTCACAGTGGACGTGGGTGTTAAAATACCAGCTGAGTGCAGGTCAGATGTTAGCAGTGGCGCCTGGCTGTAGCTCGCAAACACTTTGGCTAGGAGATTCGTCTTTTCCGTATTACTCGTGGCTGGGTAGGCTTGGTTGTCATGGTAGAGGTCAGGGATAACCGGAGACGGGCGATTCACATTACAAAGGATTACATTATTATCTGTCAAGTGTCATTAATGACATTGTACATGATCATCACCGCGTGCGCTCGATCTAATCATTGATTGTCTTTATTTTATGTTTTGCCCGTACAAGAGGCATGGTTTGAGTTAAAAAAAAAAAAAAAAAAAAAAAAATCATGCACAGAGTGCAAATAATGTGTACGGGTTCATCACGTGATGTGAAGTTCTGCCGTCGCAGACCCCATAGCTGGAGTTGCACACTCTTGGGGGTTATGTTGTTGTTGATTTTTATTTTACTTCGCAAGGCCAGACGGGCAATGGTGCCCAATTCTATGGAAGCGAATTTCAAAAGGGAGAGAGCTACGGGGAGAGAGAATATTATGTACTCTTGCTAATACCGTAAAGTACCGCCAGAGCGCCCCACCATCTCATCCTTTCGTGGTCGTACTGTGGAGGTGGTCGGCTGTCTGTACGTCATACGACATGAACCTTGTACACATATTGCACGTTTTGCAGTCAATCCGCACCTTCAAGCTGACAGATAGACACGCTGTCCGCTCTGATTAGGGAAAGGACATGGGATGTTGTTGGGATTGCGGAGACATGGCTGGACGCGTCTATAGCTGATGGAGAAGTGAACATTGAAGGATACAGTTTGGTGAGAAATGACCGAAAGGGGAGAAAAGGAGGTGGCGTCTGTATTTTTTACCGGTCCTACTTGCCCATCAAACCACGGCCGGATCTCAACCAAGGGGACACGGAGGTAGTGTGGGTTGAGCTAAATGGAAAGGCAGGCAATCACTTAATTGGCTGCATATACCGACCACCAGATGCGCCAGTCTCCTACTGGTCCACCCTTGAGGCATCGCTGCATCAAGCTGCTATGGTTACCTCAGCCGTCACATTGATGGGTGACTTCAATGTCAATATCTCGCATTCCCAGCCACAGCATGCCCAGCCCCTTCTGGATCTCTGTGGTGCAGATGGCCTCACTAATATCGTCCACTCCGTTACGCGAGTCTCACCTCGGTGTCCAGCTGGCACTACTATTGACCTGATACTGACTACAGAGGATAAGGATTTGCATGATTGCCGAGTCCTGCCGCTTACACTCAGTGACCACTTTGGAGTTGAAGCAACCTTCAATGCAAGACATGCCCGGCCAGACATCCCCAAGCAGCGTGTGCGTCGCCGTTTAGATAACATTGACTTGGTTGCCTTCCGACTTGACCTAGCTGCTGCTGAACTTCATGTGTACCCACCAGACTCTGATGTGCAAGCCATGTGGGACCACTGGCATCAACGATTCCTTTCTGTCCTCGACAGGCATGCGCCATTGCAGCAATGCAAGATTAAGACAGGCAAGCTCCATCCTCCATGGTCTGACAGAGAGCTATACAAGATAAACCAGCTGAAGCGTCGCCTGCATCGAAAGTGGCTTGCTGACAAAGCCAACTCTGAAGCTCACGCAGCATATAGACGTGCCCGCTCGGTTGCTGCGAATACAAACAGGTGCAAACGCAACCAGTACTTCCAAAGTCAGTGCCAAGATAATTGCCAGAACCCACGCAAGTTATGGTCAGTCCTAAATACTGTGACTGGACGCAAGAGACAATCAATCCAGCCGACATGCGACATCGAACATGTTGCGTCCACGTTTGGCAAGGTAGTCTCTGATGATGCTCGACCTTCAGTTCTCTCTATGCCTCAGGGACCACAGCCTCGGTCTGCCCTGACCTCATTCCAACATGTGCGTGCCTGCGATGCTGAACAGCTTTTGAAGCGCATCGACCCGCGCAACGCAACTGGGAGCGACGGCATCCCAGGCTTACTTCTAAAGTACTGTGCCGACCTGCTAGCACCATCAGTTGCAGCACTTTTCAATGCGTCCCTGACCTCCGGCACTGTACCCGCTGGCTTTAAGCGTGCGTATGTGACCCCATTGCACAAGGCTGGCGATCCATCTGTCGCCAACAATTTCCGTCCTGTGTCCCTGCTCCCAATTCTCTCGAAGCTGCTAGAGAAGGTGGTGCAGAAGGCACTTGTCACCTTTCTGGATATGGCTGGTTCTCTGCCCAGCACATAGTTTGCATTCCGGACAGGACATTCCACGGAGGATGCCCTTGTGCTGATGGTAAACAGGATCCTCGCCTCAAGAGACCGCCGCATGTTCACGGGTGTGGTCCTCCTGGATATGTCGAAGGCGTTCGACAAGGTTCGCCACCAGCAACTAGTCGAAGATCTCTTCTGTGTGGGCGTCACTGGAACAGCGCTCCAGTGGCTCATGTCATACTTGTCTGATCGCTGCCAGATTGTCCAGCTGGGATCCCAGCTTAGCACAGTGGCAGCCTGCTCCTGTGGAGTACCACAGGGGTCGGTATTAGGTCCACTGCTGTTCAGCCTTTACACCCGGGACATACCATCTGTTGCCCAGCAAGCTGAGTCCATCCAGTTCGCAGATGACATCGCACTGACCTGCAGTCGCCCAACACAACAGGAACTGACCGCCACTCTCTCCAGAGCAGTGACATGCATTGCTGACTGGCTGAAGCAGCGAGGTTTGATCCTTAATGCATCAAAAAGTCAGGCATTGGTAGTACCGGCTGGGAAGCTAGAAGCGCAACCTGAACTGGACGTATGGTGTCATGCGACTAAGCTGCCATCTGTCTCTTCTGCTCGCTACCTCGGAGTTCACATTGACAGCGCCATGTCTTGGAACACCCAGATGGATAGGTGCGTTGCCCGCCTCACCAAGAAAGTCGGTGTGCTGTGGCGGATGCGCCGCTGCCTCAGCATGCAAAGCCGCATCCAGTACTTCAAGTCGGTGATCATGCCTGATTTCTCATATGGCTCCAATGCCTTCTCAGCATCGCTGGCGGGTAAGCACCTGGACCGTCTCCAAGTTCTGCAGAATCGTGCGGCTCGAGCTGTGTACGGATGCTCGCCGCGCACCTCTGCCAGAAACCTGCTAGTCCAACTCGGCGCCTACCGTGTCCGGGAGATCTTCATCCAGAAGCTCATCTTCCTGGTTTGGCGCTGCCGCTACTCCCGTGCTAGCCCCACACTGCAAGTGCTGTTGCTACCAACCAGTGGCGCTCCTACTCGACTGCAATTATCTATGGGTCTAAGACCACCGCCAACCCGCACTGAGCTGGGTAAGGGTTGTCTCGCGTTCCAAGGAGCTAGGCTCTGGAATGCGTTGCCCAGCGAGGTGCGGGCCATATCGCACCCGGCCCAATTTCGCACTGCTGCTGTTCCACACAGCATGAACCCTTGAGGTCAGACGGATCACTATCGCCATATTTTCATTATATGCCTGCCTGTTGGCCTGCCTGCCCGTCTCTCTCCCTGTTCTCTGACAACTTGCTTGTTAATTCGTGCGGTTGTTTTCAGACGTAAAGCCCTGCTGTAGAGGTCTCAGCCCTCATTTGTTAGTCTCTCTCTCTCTGTCTCTCTCTCGCTCTCGGATCTCTCTCTCTCTCTATCTCTCTCTCTCTCTCTCTCTCTCTCTCTCTCTCTCTCTGTTTTTGGTGGACAAAAATATCTCTGGCGTTGATTGCTTTCTTGCTTCGACTTCTGCCACGCCTTTGTTCTCGTACTCCCCTTTATGTACAAGTGTTGTGCAGACCCTCCCTTAATATAGTCTGTCTCATTTTGTCCTGAGATGTTTTGATGCATAGTGATTATGACGCTCATCATTCGCTCCCTTGTCACTGGACAGTTCTGTCCGTTTGGTTTTAGCGAATTCAAATAAAGAAAGAACTAAGAGAACACAAGCTCCACACAAAAACCTGCCAAGTGTGACCTTAGTACACTAATTCTCACATCGTACACACTTCGTTGCACTCTGCCATACGATTTTCCTTTCTCTGGCTGTAAAATCAAGGTGGGGCGCTCTCGCGAGACGGGGCGCTCTGGCGAGACGGGGCGCTCTGGCGAGACGGGGCGCTCTGGCGGTACTTTACGGTACTAATACTCCTGCTACTATACTAGCTGTACCGACTCGACACATCCGAAAAAGTGCACTGTGTATAGACCTACAACTAACAGTCGTCGCCAAAAAAATCCGGCCAAATGCAATGCTAGCTACCGGTAGCTGTACTAGGCCCCATGAGCCGCATGCACTGCTATCATAGTGCCATAAGGGGTAGCGGTAGATCTACATGTAGTGCAGTTACCAGCTGGTTACCATGGTTACTTCACAGTTCACTGTTCACATGCTGACAGGCCCGCATACACTAGACATGGTTGGCATTTACCATGTTTACCGTTCACGCTATTTTCGACGGTCGGCATAGAGGGCGAGTCTACTTTTTTTGGTGTGTTTTCGAGACACGGTTAGCAGTTCGGCTTCTGAGTCCTGACTGCTGACGCAACGATAGACGTGTGAGGTAACCCTAGTTGGAATCTTACCGTTTCGTTCTCTCGCTAAAAAGAGCTTTCTATCGTCGAAACGGTACCAAACCGACGGTATTTTGTGCCGTTGGATCTAGCGCGTGAACTGTAAAAATGCCATGTCTACACACGCAAAAAAACGGTGCAGGCCAACCGTCGAAAATAGCGTGAACGGTAAAAATGCTAACCAGACTCAGCGCAGTACTCAACCCGACTGCAGGCTGGCTGTGCAGCAGGCAGAGTGCGGCGCACACTGTCTGTACTGTTCAGTGCTGTCCATGATCAGATGATCCACATCATCCAGTGGTCTAGTTACATGCACTCTACACAATGTCAATTTATTACTCAAATTTTGAAGATCAAAGGAAAGCTTTGCAATAATAACAACAATAAAACGTAGCCTGTAGAATGTAAAAAGTCACTGAGTACAGTTTAATTCAATATCCATGTCCAGTATTTATAATAAAATATTCTGCTGCAATTTATAGATTCTCACGTGTGAGCAACCTGGGCCTCAGCAACAACCAGCTCAGCAGACTCCGGATGCCGAACCGATCGCTCACGGAAAAGACCCCGTGAACCCCGCAAACACATGATGCATGATCGCAACAGGGCAAATGAGAGACGGCATCTGATGTAAGATATTACGTGGGAGTACTGCTCCTTCCTCCTTTCCGCTCTCAATAACGCGATTCGGCGATAGAGTGATGTCGCCGCTCTTCCCATGCCACCACTTGCCGACAGCACAACAGGCATGAACGTCGCATGCTCCACCTCTCTCACTCTCTCTCTTCATAACATCGTCGCTTTTCTTTTTCATGGCGCCGATAGACAGTGGTGTGTGGTGCAGATCGATTTGAGCGTGCACGAGGATTAAAAACCCGTATATCAAGTAAAGTACGCTCAAAACGACTGCCCCACAAACCACTGACCGCTACATCAAGCCGCGCATGCTCCTCCACAATAGCAGACCTGTATCTCATTCTCTCTCCAGTGAGTGGCTGCAGCTGTGGCTCAATGGAGACATTGTGACAGGTCTCTTGAAGGCCTAGTGCATGCAATGCATGGTGCCACTCCACTCCATGGTGCATGAACCTGAGATGAAGTACGGCGTAGATCTACCTACCATACCTACTAGCATGTACGCTTATCCATGGCATTGGCCGGATTTTTTTGCCGACGTACTTTGGCAGCCTCCAATGGATGGCTGTGCCTCCCTGGCTGTCGTGGAGGCTAGGGTGTCCCGTTGAGCCTTGGCCCGTGATTGTGCGGACTATGCTATGCTTCTCTTGCTCTCTGATCACATGTGACGTCATCATTAAGTGATTTGTTTTCCAATCCTCCGCCATCAGGCAAATTGTGTTTTGTTCGCCCGTAAAAGAGGCTTTAATTATTTGGCTATGATCGTTTGGTCGGATCCAGATCCAGATCCAAATCTCAGATCCGTCGGATCCTTCAGAATCAACCGAACACTTTTTTGCGGACCTTGGCTGTTGCCATGTTGACGAAGTAAAAAACATAGCCAGCAATCGCATGTCATCTCGTACATTGAAAATCAACATAATTTTGCGAATCGACCTTTTTTTCAGGATCACTTTTCAACGAGGACGAAGCAAAGTCGGCCGAACGAAGCCTAGAGGAAGAGAATCACCCTCTCCACTTCACCATCACGATACTGACATAGATACGAGATGAAACAACTAAAAAATTCACAAGAAAACTGTACGACCATCATCGCGCTGACTTTGGTCTGACTTTGGTCTGAGAATTTCTATCACGATCAAAAATGTACGAGGAGCACTCAAAAATCAGCCACAGACGTACCTTTATCGCTCTCTACTCCTTTTTCAAGGCACAAAAGTCGACTCTCCACTTTCAAACCAGGAACCAGACATACCAGTGGTCCTTTTCAGCTGCTCCACGAGCGCAGGAAATGTTCACCAAGGGGCGCAGAGCAGCATCCATTCCAAAAAAATAGCTAAAATACGAGTGAGACTGCATGCCTGAGTACATGAGTACATGTATGAGTACATGCAGAAAATAGTCAATTTCAGCGTTTCTGCTCCAAACAGCAACTAGCTTCGACTTGAAACAAAGATTACACCAAGGATCAAACAACAACCATTTTCTGCAGTTTTTTTGCAGATGCACAGGAACTATGGATCATTGAAGCCAGCTTTATCGCCAACGGAATTCGGTATGGATTTGAAGGCGATAGGTTGAGAGAATACGTGGAGAAGAGGCTCCGACAGAGCGAGGAGTTTGAAGAGTGCAGTGCTAGACGGCAAGAGTCTGCGCTCCGCGCAGAGTTTAACGAAAAGCTCAAGAAGATGGCCGAGCGCATCGCCGTCAGTACATATTATGAGGAAGCAAAGCGAGATTTGCTTGCCTCGCCCGGAAGGACGCCGGACAAGGCGTGTAAGACTTTGCTTACAGACAAGCAGCGGTCAGAAGAGTGCTTGAAGCCAGTGGGAGGATCAGATCCAAGGCCCACTGCGTCGGTACAGAGCGTGGCAACATCGGTCGGAGACGCTCAGAAGCAGCTGGAGTCTCGGCCGAACGACGTAGAAGCGCAAGACGTAGACGCGCAAGACGTAGAAGCGCAAGACATAGAAGCGCAAGACGTAGAGGCGCAAGACGTAGAGGCGCAAGACGTAGAGGCGCAAGACGTAGAAACGCAAGACGTAGAGG